TTTTAAAAGGTTTTTTATGAATAAGCCCTCCCTCTGTCTTCCTGAGGATTTGGTATCCGGATGGAAAGATTGAATCTGTTATTATTCGGTGATTTTGTTTCTTTGAGTGCTATTATGTCTGGGGATGTCTCTTTGATTCTTTCGTGCAACTCCTCATACTTGTTTGTTATTCCATCTGCATTTGTATAACCACACCTTCAACTTCTTTTCTAAGACTGTGGTCTGGGAGGTATATTGGGGTTGGGGAAGTGGAGACCTGGTAAGGAACTATGGGTTGTTGCTGTGGGGGTGGAGTTTGTAATGTAGTGGGTGGGGGCATTGGATGTGGCATGGGTGTTTTGATTTAGAGTGTTTGGTTGCACTGGGGTTGACCTGGTTGGGAGGCTTCTATAAGAAGTTGTGAGGGTGGCTGTATTGATCTTCCTGGGTCTGGATCTCCTGTCTGTCTTCTCCATCCCCTCTCTTTCCTCCTTTCGCCTTTTAACCATCTCTCTCGTTTCTGCCTTTCTTCTTGTGTTCTGTCGCGGTCGAGATACACCTTCCTGTATGCCGGCATGTCCCTTAATCGTGCTTTCTCCTGCAGGATCCTGGTCTGAGTCGCTTCTGCCTTGAAGGTCACTTTCGCTGGCCGGGTTCTTTTTTTACAAACCCCCCTATTCTCCGAAAATTTTCCAGCTGGGTCATGTCATCTTCTCCTATTGCTTTCATGATGCTTTCAATTGTGTTTTTTTTTTCCCTTGTTTTCTTGCTTCATATGTTTCCCCTTCAATCTTCCTGGAGCCCATACACAAAGACTGACCTCACCCTTTCATTCTCCCACTGCGTATCCCTGTGTATCCCCTCATTTAATTTGGTTTCCTGCACTGCAGCTTTCCTTTCTTCTGTTTCACTGGCTATGTACTTGGGCTCAGTGGCCTGTCATTTTCCCTTCTCCGGCTTTCCTTGGGCTCTGTTGTTGTCTGTTAGGGCCTCCACATAAGCTTAGCTCTTTCATTTACTACAGTCTCCTCTGATAGAGCTTCTCCCATGCAGTTGTGCCCCTTCTTTCCCTACAGTCCCCTTATTTGTGGCTGAGGTAGCAGTCCCAAAATGTTCTTTAGTTCTTTAGGCTGTTTTCAGATTTTTCAGTTCCTCTTCTAAACTCTGTATCCTAGCCTCTGCTGCTTTGACATCACCTCCCACTTCCTGCGTTCATATCTACCCTCTCTTCCATTCTCATGCTATAGTTCTTCTAGTTTCTTTTTCCCCTTCATGATCTCTTTTTATGAGCTCTGCTGCCCAATCTTCCTTTGCAGTTTCCTCCTCCTGTCCCTTGATTTTTCTTGTTGCTCTCTGGCAACCCATTTTGTGTGTGTGTGTGTGTGTGTGTGTGTGTGTGTGTGTGTTGTTTGTGTGTGTACTCACCTATTTGTGGTTGCAGGTCTCGAGTCATAGCTCCTGTCCCCCCTCTTTACTTATTGCTACTGGGTCCTCTCTCTCCCCCTGCTCCATGAGCTTCATCAAACTTCTTCTTAAAACTATGTATGGTTACTGACTCCACTGCGTCACTTTCTAGGCTATTCTATTTCTTGGCAACTCTATGACTGACGTCCCTTTGATTCATAGGAGTCTTCAACTTCCAATTATGACCCCTTGTTTCTGTGTCCCATTTTATATGTCGTTATCATGTCTCTTGTGACCCTCCTGTCCTCCAGTGTCGTCAAGCCTATTACCCTCAACCTTTCTTTGTAGGACAATCCCCTTAGCTCCAAGACTAGTCTCGTTGCAAGCCTTTGCACTTTCTATAATTTCTTGAGGTGCTTGACCAGGTGTGGATTCTAAACTGGTGCTGCATACTCCAATATTGGCCTAACGTATATGGTGTACAGAGTCTTGAACGATTCCTTACTGAGGTATCGGAACACTATTCTTAGGTTTGCCAGACGCCCGTATGCTGCAGCAGTTATTTGATTGATGTGCGCCTCAGATGTGCTCGGTATTATATTCGCCCCAAGATCTTTTTCCTTGCAGCGAGGTTTGCAGTCCACCTAGACTATACTCTGTCAGCGGTCTTCTTTGCCCTTCCCCGATCTTCATGACTTTGCATTTGGCAGGGTTAAATTCAAGGAGCCAGCTGCTGGACCAGGCTTGTAACCTGTCCAGGTCTCTTTGTACTCCTGCCTGATCCTCGAACTATTTAATTAAAAAATCTTCAAGATATTTAGTAGTATATATTGGTCGATCTAGGAACACTGCCGGATAATGACCATGGAAAATGAGATAATGATAGGGTCTGCATGACAGGGTAATTGTTTAATATGTTTAATCATGCCCCAAGGGGATAGAGAGTCTTATTCCTATGCATTAATAAGTAGGTACATAAAGTAGAACAAAGGAATCAGGTGTGCAGGTGGCAGATTCCAGGATAATGAGTGTGGAAAAGAATGTGATAATGGGTGGTCCGCATAAGCTCAGGTGCTGTCAGGGGTACAATTTTAATATGTTTAATCATCCCCCAAGGGGATAGAGAGATTTATTTCTGTGTAATTACTAAGTATAAGAAGGTAGGTAATGATCACTTCTGACTCCCCAAACTCAATCACTCTGATAGATGGGAGAGGCAGTACAAAAAAGGATTCAGGTGTGCAGGTGGGCAGATTCCCAGGATAAAGAGTGTGGAAAAAGAATGTGATAATGGGTGGTCTTCATAAGCTCAGGTGCTGTCAGGGGTACAAGTTTAATATGTTTAAACATCCCCCAAGGGGATAGAGAGACTTATTTCTGTGTAATTACTAAGTATAAGAAGGTAGGTAATGATCACTTCTGACTCCCCAAACTCAATCACTCTGATAGATGGGAGAGGCAGTACAAAGGATTCAGGTGACTGGGTACAAGCTTGCCATCTCCGAGGGAGTACCCCCCCCCCTTCCCGGGCCCGACTCACTGACGCGACTGTTGCTACTTCACAACAACACTGCTGGGTTTAAAGAACGCGGTAATGGATGGGTAGCTGGTCCCCCGAGGGAGTGTTGCTCGCCCGTCCGTACCTCAGCAAAAAAAAAAAAGGTTCTTCCGGGTACTACGGTAGTGTTTATTCTTGCCAGCTGCTAGATCTTTCCAGGTGGGGGAGGCTTAAAGCAGTGAGAAAGGCCATCTAGGGAAGACCTTTGTGCTGATAGAGCTCTTATAGGAACTTTGACATATACATTTTCCTCTTACCCACTCTCAGATGGGGAGAGGCTTAAGTGGTGCGATATTGTTTATATATATATATATATATGTTTAGACTAGAGAAGATAGTAATATATAGTTATATGTAAATAAAAATCAGAGTTTGTCAATATTTTTATTAATTCACATACAAAAGGGCAAAAAAGCTCTGCAAAGTTTTTTAGCGCGAGCAAAGGGGCGAAACTGTGCGAGTTTTACTGGTTAGACTGAATGACTGCGCTCCTCCTGTTCACTTTCTGTAAGATTGATAACCTCCCGCTCGAAAATGATTTCCTTTTCAGGTACATCATCATCTGCCTTTACTGCGGTCTTTACCCCTTCTGCTGGCTTTACTGCGTCTCCAGCATTTACTCTCACGTCGGAGGTTTTCCCTTCCTTCTCCGACTGACCGTCAGGGTGCGCTTCAAGGTCGCCAGTTTGTTCAGCACCTGCTGCGGCAGTGACCTCAACAGAGTCATCAGATTGAGCAGTGAGCGTAGAGAGGTCCACAACGAGGTCATCAGACTGACATGAGGGAAGGCTCTGCGTTTCATCGTTGTCGAGATCTGGTTCTTTCTTCATAGGCTCCTCTATATCAGATGAACTGATCCCATCTTCCACAGGCTGTAAGTCATAAAGAGAACATATTTATCACTTTCAAATAAAGGAGTGGGACTCATCTCCAATCTACCAAAGGAGGGAACATAGAAAGACATACCCTTTCCTGAGGAAGTCTATGTTTGCGTTTCCTGCTATCATCACAATGACACCGCTTTAGGAGTTTGAAGCCGGCGTGTTCCTTCCCTTCCAATCTACCAGCCGATAAAATCAAAACTTTACAAATTCTGACTGGCCCAGTGAAAACTGTTGAAGAAAAAAAAAAGGAGACTCAACTTTAAAATTATAAAGTCTCTTGCGCTCGTTTGTTTCCGTTAATATCAAAGAGAAGTATCCAATCTACCAGCCGATAAAAATCAAAAACTTTACAAATTCTGACTGGTGCAGTGAAAACTGTTGAAAAAAGAGACTCAACTTTAAAAATTATTATAAGTCTCTTGCGCTCGTTTGTTTCGTTAATATTCAAAGAGAAGTTTTTAGCAAAATAAAATGTCTCGCTTACCAGAATCGAGAATGCCTGCTTCCTTCGCCATGATGAGTAAAAGGCTTAGGGAGAGGTCAGCCTCTATCTTTTGCGGGGAAGACAGCTTCAGCGGGCTCTTATATACAGCTCAGAGAGGGCCTTACCAGCCAGGAGGGGTATTTGGGGGATACTCTCGTCAGAGGTGACCTTCCTCACAGAGGGAAGCACAAAGATAACCTTGACTTAGGCAAAATGTTTTTTCACAAGGAGGTAACATTTTAAAATTCTCTCTAGCATATGCTATCACTAATCTGTCATTGATAAAAAGCGATTTTTCCGAGAAATTTTTTTTAAAAAAATATAAAGCTCTTTCTAATCCCACAAGGCTTGCTTTATGAATAAACATCATAACATATAGACCGCAAGTGAGTGAAAAATCACTTTGTGTTCTGCCAGATAAACGATATAAATATTTAATTTTATTTAGTTTAAAATTTTTTTTTAAATTTATGCCATAATTCTCTGGTTTTTTCCCGTAACTGTCAAAGAAGAAGGATAGACTATTTTTCTTGTCCAAGAGAAGAGAAAAAAAATGACCCATTACTTTTGAACTGTACGAAGGACGAATATTACTTACAAGCACTATGGGCCTGTCTGAGGGATAGTCATCTAATCTTATTTGCTGTAGAGCGTCTATAGTGAAACAGCCAATATATGTGACTTTATTTCCTAGGGCGGGAATTAAACTATTATTTATTTCTGCGCAATTCATTTTTTATTTATGCTCGCACATCACAATGAACAGATCTATTCTGGTCGATGGAATAAAACACCAGTGTCTGAGCAAATAATAAAACTACCTTATTATGAGGGGCAGGCTTAGAGAACTGTAATTCAATTCTCAAGTTACCAGATTTTTCAATCGGGAGAGCGTCTTCCACTTGGCTGTCTGTTAAATTGAAAATATTGATGGTTCGCCCGGAGGCGAATGATTCATAGAGAATTAAATTTTCTTCCTCAATGCCCAGAGAGTTAATTGCCTCATAATATAATTTACTATAATGATGGGGGAAATCACTGCTTATGCGATAAACTGTATTATTATTAATACATACAGATAAACTGGCTAGATCCCCATGCTCAAAATATAGTCCATTCTCCTTATGTTTTCCTGCATAGGCTGTCATGGGCAAAATTACCATGAAAATTTTGGCGGGAATTACATGACCCCATGGCTGATCTATTAGGAGGCTCGTTTGATTGTGACCTAGCACATAATTTTACTTAGAGTGCGATTAAAAGTATATATTATCGCTTTGCGTCTAAGGCTAGAGACTTGTTCAAGGCCATAAAGCTGAATGTATATGGTATACTCTATTAAGCCATAATTAGCGTAATTATATGGAGCTGGTATGTGCTGGCTTCATCGTCTGTTTTTCAGAGTCCACGCTTGAGGGGATAATTCCAGCCTAATTTTTAAATCGATATTGTCAAGCAGATATTGGTCCAGAGTGGATATGTCCAGAGCCAAGGAAAACACAGAGTTAAGCCCTGTTCTTTATCATTCTTTGTCAGTATCTGTGGTTCTTTTGCCGATGTGCGGGCGAAATAGGCTGTATCGAACAATTTAGTTATACCTTCTCCTCCTTTAAGTCGGGCAGAGATACCCCAGTCGGGCGATACTCGGCAACTGGCTTCGTTTACTGAGCTGCAGAGTTTAATGAAGACCAGTAATTAAAACTAGAATTTGATTCCGTTATTTGCTCGCCCAGAAACACTGGCACTTTTAAATAATGTGTTGGAAAATCCATTGATGAGTGCAATGTTGCTTGTTTTCCCCTAGTGGACTTTGCCCATCGGCCTCTGTTAGAGTCACTCTAAATTCTATAACTATTTTGCCTAAATCTAGAAATGCTCCGGGAACTCCAGGAATTCTAAATTCTAGAAAATTATCTTTTAGTTTTTGAGAGAGAGGAAGGTTTACTGGTAGAGTATCAAAACTCTGTGTGCGAGCTATGGAACTCTCAACTTGTCTCAGTCTATGCGGTCGCGGGAATTGATTAATGACGCTGGAAGAATAATCATTTAACGGGACTTTGAGTCCACTGTTTTCAGCCCCGACACCCGCCATGGCTAATAAGCAACTGTTTATACGAGAGAGAATACATCCGTTTTATAAGCAACTCGACTTCGTCGGCGTTTATTTATCTTGCATTTATTATTTACCCGTCGCTTAGTCACCCTGCTCACTCTGCCGCCCGTAATAACCTTCTTTGCAACACCTTTTAAAGCATCTATCCCGTGAGATTTAAGAGCAGCTTTCATGTCTGTTTTTCCAGACTGATAATCATCGAGCATTTTAGTTCCAAATTCTACTGCACTTGGCGCAGCCACTCTGAAAAGAAAAGGTAAAGCTCTTTTAGCTAGGCCCGCTAAAGCCGAAAAAAATCCCCCACCTCGGACTCTGTATGGCGCGTGAAAAGTTTGTATATCTCCCAGACCACCTGCCACATGGGAGAGTTTTAGGGAGAATAAACTCCGAAATTCCTGCTCAGAGGGCACTTGAAAGGGTATCACGCATGTTTGGCGGATTAGAGAAACAATAACCATTTTTACGCTGAGTTGGTTCTATTTATTTATCGGTCTTACATGTAACACTACGGTAGTGGAATGACCGCTTTCAAAAGACAGATTACGACCCAAACTGATCTGTCATTTTGATAGCTATTTTATCTAATTTAGTTACGCATAGAGGTTTGTACATCATAGGATGAGCACCTTTTGAATAACTCTCCTGAAAGGCGAAAGCATCCAGAATATTGACTAACTGACTACCGTATATTTGCGGTTCCACAATATCACTATATATTAAAACATAATCAACTCCGGCAGTGGATCAGGCTTGAATGGGGCAATCTGCTGGGGAAGGAGGTCCCCTCGGGCGCGTCACTACGAAATAAATAATATTTTTCAGCGCTGCTAAGCCCAAGCACCCGAGCTATTCTCGGTTTAAATTGAGCTTTAAAATGAAGTGGCAGCATTGTTTTTTCCCGTAAGGTTCGCGATCTCGTCGAAACTAAAACCCTCCCAATTCCGACATCATAATTGAGTATTTTCCCTTTCGGGAAATGTGCCGAATAATTATCTCTAAAGGCTTTTTTTTAAATCTGCTGTTAGCTGTCGATTAATTTCTTCAATAATATGGCTGGCATCTGTCGATAAACACATCATTTTTTGGTAGAAAGTGATGGACTATTTCTTTCTGCACTTATTCCTGTTTCAGTAATGTGATTTTGTATAATGTCAATACCGCATTCGGCATCGTCTCTTGTTAGAACATTGAATTTTTTGGGATACAAAACATTAAGCAAGGCTATTTCGTAGTTCAAGGATGGATTTAAAGGCGTTGCAGTAATTATATTTTGAAAGGCCGAAGCTGTATTCTCGAAAATGTCAATATTTTCTAAACTGCTCAAATAGATATATTTCCCCGGACCCCCTCTGTCCATGTTGAGGGACAGAGACAGTATGAGGCAAATACAAAATATAGACCATTATATATATTTTTTAAAGGCTTAAAAAAACTTTAGTTTGAAGACTTTTACATTTTTATTTTTTTATTAGTTACAGCATTTAGGAATAAAATATCCACATCGTGCTGTCGTTTGCGTTTTCCGCGTGAAGTGACCTCGACTCCATCAGGCATGTCCATTTCACGCATGCCACTGTCTCGTTTAGTTCCAATCCCACCGGCTGGTCCGACGTCAGCACCGTTGACACCGCTGCTGCCGCTGCTGCTGCTGTTGCCGCCACCGCTGATGCTGCCAGTGCCTTGCTTCTCCACAGACAGCTGTAGTATTTCCCGTTCTAGAGCTTCGGGGAGCGCCGCGTTCAATTTCCACCTCATCTAGGATGATTTTAGGTACTGCCAAGTATGGGCTCACTGACGGTACGAGCAAGCATGTCTGAATTTCCCGTTTCAGTAATATGTCTTGAAATATGTTAATGAGAGGGAGATATTCAGTGTGCCATTCATCGGCCTGTTTCTGCTCATGCCAATGTACTGGGGTAAAATTACCCGTTTGATGTGCCATTGGCTATCACCGCCCATTCCCAGGGACACCAGACATAATTTAAACCAATTCGTCGATTCTGTTGCGTGTCCTTGCTCAAACCGCGTACATAATGCGTGTCGAGACTACGCTCTAATTGCTGTTGCGCAATTTCATTCTTTTCAAGACAAGGACCCGCTGAGAACTGACATATTAGTGCTGCAAGGTGGGGTCTTAAAAAATCCTCTGGCCTGTCATCAAGGGTGTTGGTGCATGGTGGGGTGATTTTAGGACAATTTCCCCGGGTGTGCCCCGATCTGCAGCTATGGCACGGTTTCACCAGGATTAGCGATTTTCGCTCAATTTTGGAAAAAGGATATTTTTTTCCCAGAGGAAAGAGCCGGCTCGTAGGGGCGAGCAGAAGTAGCGTTGTGGGGATACACGATACAATCCCCATATTCCAGGAATTCTTCGCCCGTTATTCCCCCGACAATTACTGGAAATTTATATTCCATTCTCGTCAACAGTTGGGTTCCTTAGAGTCCTCGCTGAGGGAGTGAGACGGATAATGTTTATCGGCACGTCGGCGGCGGGGTTTAAATACCGCGCTGCTGTAGCCTCCCACTCCTGCGGGTGGGTTTGGTAGGGGTTTGGGGGACCTCTCTAGGTTGATATTCGTCTAAGGTGCTTATACAAGCTTTGGGCCCCTTCAAAAGCTTCTATCATAT